CAATCCAATTATGAAAATTGGGCTGCTCATACTTCTCTGCCTTCGGTTCCTTCTGAGCCGTCATCAGCATCCATCTCCATGGCAGATTTTACACCAGAAGTTCTACAACATCTCATGTCCTTGGCTGTCTCTTCTGCCCCTCCAGTTGATAAACTTACGGGTAAAATTTTACACCCATCTTGGATCATCGACAGTGGTGCATCCCAACACATGACGGGCACACTCTCCTATCTATCCAATGTGCATTCTATTTCTCCTTGTTCTGTGGGACTGCCGAATGGAGTTCATGATATTGCTACGCAATGTGGCAGCATTAATTTGGGCTCTTCTCTTCATCTCTCCAATGTTCTTTATGTCCCTTCGTTGGCTTGTAATTTGATTTCTGTATCTCAGCTTCTGCGCCAGTCTTGCTTGGCATTGTTTGTTAATTCTGTTTGTTTGATACAGGACCTAAAGCAGAAGAGGACGATTGGAACGGGTGTTGAACGAGAAGGGGTGTATATATTGTGTGCATCATCAGCTTCTGCTCATGTTGCCAGTACGTCAGATTCTGCAGCACTATGGCATCGTCGTCTAGGACATCCATCTTCCCGTTATTTATCTTTGTTACCTTTTATTTCCAATGCAAACAATTTGGCTCCTTGTGACGTTTGTTGTAAAGCCAAACAACCACGAAGTCCTTTTCCTATTAATAATAAACGTTGTTTACATCCTTTTGATTTACTTCACTGTGATATATGGGGGCCATATCATATGGCATCTACAACTGGTGCCCGCTATTTTTTAACTGTAGTCGATGATTTTAGTAGACATGTTTGGATTTTTTTGATGCGCAATAAAACTGAAACTTCCACATGTTTACTTCGGTTTCTCCACTTGGTTCGCACCCAATATGATGCATCTGTTAAGCGAATTCAGAGTGATAATGGGACTGAATTTTTGTCATCTGTAGTCCAAGAGGCTCTCTCATCCTACGGTATTCATCATCAATTATCATGCACTTACACCCCACAGCAAAATGGACGCGTTGAACGTCGTCATCGTCACATCCTCAACGTGGCTCGTGCTTTGCGTTTTGATGGTCACTTACCTATATCTCTTTGGGGAGAATGCATCTTGACCGCTGCTCACCTCATCAACAGGACACCGACTCCACTCCTTGGTGGTCAGTGTCCCTATGAAGTTTTGCATGGCACTCCACCAAAGTATGATCACTTACGGGTCTTTGGGAGTTTATGTTACACTACTGTTTTACCCAAACCACATGACAAGTTCGCTCCTCGCTCCCGTAAGTGTGTGTTTGTTGGCTACCCTTTCAACAAAAAAGGATGGAAGGTCATGGATATCTCCACTCATGAAATATTTGTTTCTCGTGATGTTTTATTTCATGAAACTATTTTTCCATTGGCTGCAACTTCATCTGCACCTTCTGTCCATGTACCGTCACCACAAGCTGTCTTCACCGATTATGATGTGGCACCTGTTACTGCTATTGATACTCCCACAGCGGAGCTTGATGACAGGGGGAGTTCGTCCTCCCCAGTTCCGGGTTCTATTACTTCATCCACGGATGTCCCTGGTTCACCGGTTCCGTTGACAGAACCCAACACTGCATCTGTGGCAGATATTCGTGAACAGCGTGCCAGACGTCCCCCATCTCATTTAAAGGATTATGTATGCAACACAATGACTACACCCTTTCCTCGTCTCTCCACTTCTCCAATCGACTCAGGTATTCAATATTCCATTGATCATTATGTTTCTAATGCATTATTTTCTTCGCACCATCAGATTTTTCTTGCCGCCGTGGATAGTAACCTGGAACCCAAATCATTTAAAGAGGCTATGCAATATCCTCATTGGCAGAAAGCCATGCAAGCCGAAATTGATGCATTGGAAGCCAATCATACTTGGCAAATTCAACCTCTCCCTTCTGGTAAGAAAGCTATTCCATGTAAGTGGGTGTACCGCATCAAGTACAATTCTGATGGAACCATTGAACGCTATAAAGCGCGTCTGGTTATTGCTGGGAACAATCAGATCGAAGGAGAAGATTACACTGAGACTTTTGCACCGGTGGCTAAAATGACAAGTGTGCGTACATTTTTATCTGTAGCTGTAGCTCGAAAATGGAGCATTTTTCAGCTGGATGTTCAAAATGCCTTTCTCCATGGCGATTTGGATGAAGAAGTCTTTATGCGTTTTCCTCCCGGTTTCTCCCAAACCAAGTCTGGTCACGCCTGTAAGCTTCAACGTTCACTTTATGGTCTCAAGCAATCCCCACGAAATTGGTTTGCTAAGCTTCGTAGTTCTCTCCTCAGTTTCGGCTTTGTTCAGTCTCGTGCTGATTATACGTTGTTCACTTACTCGACTGGTTCCCATTATGTTGCTATACTTGTCTATGTAGATGATATTTTGTTGGCAGGTAGTGATCCTTCTCTCTGTGACCGTGTCAAAGCTCATTTACAAACCTGGTTTAAAATCAAAGATCTTGGTCCCCTCAAGTATTTTCTTGGCATTGAATTTGCTCGAAGCAAGACCGGTTTGTTTCTTACTCAACGCAAATTTGCTTTGGATATTCTTAAGGAATGTGGACTTCAAAGTTGTAAACCGGTTGCTTATCCTATGGATCCCAATCACAAGCTTGCTCTTGCTGAAGGACCTCCGTTTGATGATCCTAAACGTTATAGACGTATTGTTGGCCGTCTTGTATATCTCACGATTACACGACCAGAACTTAGTTATGCAGTTCACACACTTTCTCAGTTTTTGCAGCATCCTATGCAGATACATTACGATGCGGCTATTCGTGTTCTTCGGTACATTAAGTCCAATCCTGGCCAAGGACTCCTTCTTCGATCTGACAGTGATCTTCTTCTTCGTGCCTATTGTGATTCGGATTGGGCTAGTTGTCCCTTGACTCGAAAATCAGTCACTGGTTATTTTGTTACTCTTGGACATTCTCCTATTTCTTGGAAAACCAAGAAGCAAAACACAATATCCCGCTCCTCTGCTGAAGCTGAATACCGTGCCATGGCAGCTGCGACTTCTGAGCTTATTTGGTTAAAGTCTTTTCTCAGCTCTCTTGATATTCCTCATGCAGCCCCTATGCAACTGTTTTGTGACAGTCAGTCTGCTATTCATATTGCTTCTAATCCAGTGTTCCATGAGCGTACCAAGCATATCGAGTTAGATTGCCATTTTGTTCGGGACTATCTTCTCAGCAAGACTATTTCTACTCAACATATCCCCACTAGTTCTCAACCCGCAGATATTATGACCAAAGCACTTGGATCCAAACAATTCGATTTTTTGACTTCCAAGTTGGGCATCTCCTCCCTCCATGCTCCACCTTGAGGGGGAGTATTAGAGTAGCATTAATTTGTTAGGATCCTGATTGTAACTATCACGGTTTGTTACCTTGTATATTAAAATAGATTAGCTTGATTTATGCTTTCTGTTCCTTAGTTTTAGCTGATTTCCTGATGTAAATAGATTAGCTTGATTTATGCTTTCTGTTCCTTAAGTTTAGCTGATTTCCTGATGTAAATAGATTAGCTTGATTTATGCTTTCTGTTCCTTAAGTTTAGCTGATTTCCTGATGTAACCAATTGTAAATCTTGGTCTATATAATAGACCCAATTTTATATATCATTCAGCTGCGAATGACAGCAACTTCTGTTATGGTATCAAGAGCTTGACGATCAACAAGCCTTCATTTTTTTTTTTTTTCATCATGACTTCCGCACCTAAAACCTTCAAGGTTTCTGATTCTAAGTCACCCTTTTACCTGCACCCATCCGACAATCCTGGTGCTGTTCTCACCACGGTCATCCTCCGTGGACAATCCAATTATGAAAATTGGGCTAAGCTTCTAAAAAATGCTCTCCGAGCCAAAAATAAACTTGGTTTTATTGATGGCACTATTGTTGCTCCTACTGATACAACATCGGACGAAGCTTATGCATGGGTTCTTTGTAACTCCATGATCAATAGTTGGCTGCATAATACTATTGATCCCCAACTTCAACCTTTTATCAAGTGTTTTGAAACTGCAAAAGGTCTCTGGGATGATCTCAGCGAGCGTTTCTCTGTTGCAAATGTCCCACGTGTCTTCCACTTGAAGGCTACACTTTCCTCCATCAGACAGAATGGTACTTCTTTTATAGATTATTATACCAAGCTTCGTTCTATTTGGGATGAACTGGAGTCTAATCGATCCCTCACAGCTTGTTCCACTGGTGCTGACTGTGCTTTTTCTAAATCTGTTACTACTGAGGATGACAACAATCGTATTTATCAGTTCCTTATGGGTCTGGATCACACTACTTATGGTAGTCTTATTACCCAAATCCTCAATACCACTCCACTCCCAAGTATCAATCGGGTGTTCTCTATGGTAGCTCAAGAGGAAACGCACAAGGCATTGGTCCGATCTCAGGATTCTCCTTCTGATGCAATGGGATATGCAACGCCTGGTACTGTCTCCAAAGAACTAGGAGATTCTTCCAAACCTAAAGTCACATGCACTTACTGTGGCAAACCTTATCATGACATAACAAGATGTTATCAGCTGATTGGTTACCCAGATCGCCCCACTCCTGGACGCAGCCCTCCTCCTGGACGAAGCCGTGGTCGTGGTCGTTCATCCACTGCACGATCTCACCCACAATCTGCTCGGGCTGCTCATACTTCTCTGCCTTCGGTTCCTTCTGCGCCGTCATCAGCATCCATCTCCATGGCAGATTTTACACCAGAAGTTCTACAACATCTCATGTCCTTGGCTGTCTCTTCTGCCCCTCCAGTTGATAAACTTACGGGTAAGATTTTACACCCATCTTGGATCATCGACAGTGGTGCATCCCAACACATGACGGGCACACTCTCCTATCTATCCAATGTGCATTCTATTTCTCCTTGAGGATATACTAGTGTGGACTTCATTGGTATTTCTCCAAGATATGCATGATGAATAACCGAGAGAAGAGTTGAAAGACAGAATGAGGCAACTTTTAACATTAATGAGGTTCTCGGAATTTATATATAACTGTACATATCATTGAGAGTCAGGTTATTAATATTAGTAATATTCCGAATTTATGAGACAAACCAATGAGAACGGATCATACAGTGTAAATTTATAATGGCTCCTGAATGTGGGAAGTGAGATCCCCAAAGGTGTTCTCGCCACTGTATGTAACATACAGAAATCCATCTTCATCCTTCTTCTCATCATATATGGCAGACATAATTGCTCCTGAAGAAAGTGAATAATCAAGTGAGATGCTGAGGCCATTCTACATTACAAGAAGTCTAGAATCTAGATATTAAAAAAAGTGAAGGAGCATATAATTTGCCAAAGTTCACCTGTAGGAGGAAGTACGTTGTCCACAAAAATAAATATTGCCTTTTCTGCACTTAATTTAATCCTTTTGCGAATAACGTACACAAACTGTCCAACGGTGAGGTCAGCAGGGACAAGGTACCTGCAATGTTTTCATTCAGTTTGATACCATAAAACAGTACATACGGCTGTGAACCACGTACCACATTCATTGGAAATTTTATACGTCTACTGGCACAAAGCCATTTCACAATGGCTAATGGCATAATATAAACATAATATCAGTTCAACCTTGAAATCTAGCAGTAGTTATTAACTACCAAAAGAAAATACACAGCCATTATCACCAAGCTTTCAGAAATAAAAAACCAATTCAAATGCTGTTTACCCAATAAAATTTATACGTCATCTCACAAAATGAAGCTACTGATATGATACCAGCAAATCTTTGCAGCATTGCCAAATTAGCATGTCAATTTGATCAATTCAGTACATCATTCAATAAATTCATACAAAGTGATTTGATCAATCTGGCCATTGAATAATGAATATGTATTACATTGAAATTATATCCCATATTTTAGAATAGTTAAACACAAAAAGAGGCAGAGGTAGGCCGAAGCTTACTTGGGGGAAAGTAGTAAAACAAGATTTAATGGAGTGGGATATAGATTGGCGGACAGTATGTCTTAGAACGGAATGGAGAAAAGCTATAAGTATGGTGGAGGGTTAGACCCGCTGTTATTCCTATGTTCCAGATGGTCCCTTTTTAGTCATTTTCCCCTTCATTTCCCCCACTTATTCTTGTCCCTTTCTTTTTTACTTTTATTTATTTATATATACATATATTGTTATTTTATTTTATCTTATTTTATATTTTTATTTTATTTGTTTATTTTTATTTATTTATTTATTGCTTTTTTACTTTTTTCCTTTTTTTATTTTTTTTAACTTTTTTTTTTCAACCGTTTTGTATTTTTCATGTGGGTTCATCTACCACCGACCCCAATTAATTTGGGATAAAGGTGTTGTTGATGTTGATGTTGATTTTAGAATAGTTAAACAAACATAAAAATACGACCAAATGTTTGAAAAGTATATTCTGCATTAATTCTAATACAACCGAATGGAGTAGAAAACAAACTCAAATTTATGTGAGATTTTATAAGAATGACATGCACATTCGTCAATTCAATGGTATTTAAAATTATTCATCGGTGTAAGCTTGATTTTGAACTACATACATTGGCATTGAAATAAAATGACAATTTCCACATTAGAAGGAGAGTATTCAGAGAATCTTACTTCTTCTTGTCAATACTTGGGATGTCACTTCTTTCAGCCTTCTCCACAATTACCTTCAAGCATATGCAGAGAAAATTTAGCACAAAAATTAGAGATGAATCAATGATGTACGCTTCTGAGTATCATAGTTGTGGCAGGCAGAAGGCAGAATTTAAAATGCCATAACCTTGACTAATATAGTATATTATGTGTATTTACCTGATAAATTAAATATTTACCTGATAAATTAAAACTAACTTATAAATGAAATTGAAAACAAGATGATGTGACTATGATATTAACATCAGAGTAAAACAAGGGAAGACAATGCAGACTCCTTGGCATGTATAATCATGACTAAGAATAACTAGTACAAAGCAGCAAATATAAAGTTTGTGGGCATAAGATGCTTTCGTTACGGGATCCAACCTTTGAGAAAGTCCATAAATGTATAGTTTCATAAGTAAATCATCTATCCTTCCTTAAGTTGAATTCATTGTATAATTCAATAGACTCGATAACAAGTCATTTAACCTCCAATACAGAATATTTCCAAATAAAGATGATTTATACATGTAGAGACCAAAATTGTTTTTTATTTTTTTTTTAAATGTCCAAAAGTGCATTACAATTTTGCATACAATAGAATTACAGACCGTTTTTATGAGGAACATAACTATGTGTACAGAGACATTAGACTCCAATAAGGGAAAGTAAGGGGACCAGGAACACCTATTAAAAAAAAAAAAAAAAAAAAAGTGAAATAAGGACGCTAACAGCAAGCATGTATAATGAGATGACCAGCAAACTAAGAACAGAAAATTGCCTAATTAAATTACTTTCATCTAACAGAGCATAGTGAACACATCTAATCAAATTAGCAGATATTGAACATGCATTGATCAATGTTAAAGAAATTCCTATTCAAGAAAAGCTGTTAATGAAGATCAAGGATCACCAATCCTATCAAGGCCTTGCACCAAGGTCAAGTGCTAGTCAGTTATATATGCTGCCACCACATGACGGGAAGGAGACAAAAGACAAATTGAAATATTTCAAACAGAAGAATACATTTATATTTAATAAACAAGCTTTCACCATAACACATAAAAACTGAGAAACAGATTAACGAACAACTCTGATTCTTCCACAAATGTGTACTTCACCATCACCATAGATTGCATCAGTAGTAGATAGTTGCAAAGGGGAAAAAAAATAAATAACTACTAGTTCTCACCGGGATCCGGTCTGGGTATTTCTCCCTAATCCTAGCTGCTTCAGCTCTTCTCTTCTCTGGAGACAAAATAATTATTTGTATGTTTCTCAGCTTACCACACACCCAATATAACAAGTAACTGGAAGAAGGGGGGAAAAAATAAAATAAAGTACATACCAAGATCATGCTCTTGTTTGAAGTAGCTCTTTGCCATTCCTACTGAAAGTAGCATTAACAAAAATCAATTAAGAGTAAAATGAAATATGCATTGTGTGGCAAAGGAAAATTAATTCCCCAATCATTCAAAGAATCAAAATCAATTATTATATCCAAAAAATAATAATAAATAAAAGAAACGAAGAGGCTTCATTAAATGACAAAACACCCAAATTAAGCAACACGAAGCTGCAAGCAAATAATTACAGATAGGTAAACATAAACAACAAGCAGATGGGGGGATAAAGGGGAAAACTCATCCGAAAACAAAATCTTATGTATGAAGTATATAGGAACCCCCAAGTTTCAAAAGGATCATCATCGCCTACCGTGCACGAGCAACGGAATTTACGAAAGAGGAAAAGCAAAAAAAATTGACCAAATTTCTTAAATAATATTCGTCAAACAGCTGAGAAATATATTATGGAAACCAAAAACATAGAACTTCGATTTTGACAAAGTTATCGACGGAAGGAAACCTCGTGAAGATGATGAAGACAACCAAACAAGAGAAGTAACGCCGTTGATCACAACTCCAAGAAGCCCGTGGATTGCTTCAAGATAACTAAAATATGGCGGCTTTGCTTGCTTTTATTATTTATATTTTGACAATGGGTTTCAATTTTATCACGTAATTTTCTCATACGGGCACATATTTATTAAAAAAATAAAAAAAATACATGCAGTTAAATCAAAGTGTTATTTATAGGAAAAAATAATTTTTTCATAATATAAGAAAATATTTTTCTTTTTACAATTAATAAACTCACAATTTAACTTCTTAATGCACAAATGCTGATATTTACTTCGTATTTAGTGATTTTTTATATAAATAAAAATCGAACACATAACATAATTTAATATATTCAAACCTCTTATTACTAGAATAATCTCAGTGCTTTCTTGTCTAGTGATTCTAATTTCTTTTTTTTTTTCTTTTTTTCTTTTTTTGTCTCTGCTAATTTTTTTAGCAAAAATAAAATATTAGGGAGAGAAAAAGTTACTAAAAACAATTACACTTGTTTTCCACAAAAAAAAAAATTATACTTAATAATAAATAAAAGTACAATAACGTAATATACTTTTTGATACAAATTTACATACAATGTATTAATGCCTTTGGATCTTGTTAATTATATTTAATTCCTATACGAATAGTTTTAAAAGAAAAATTAATTTTCAAATAACTAAATAAAATGCATTTACTCTTCGTTTAATTAAAATATACTATAATTTTAATTAATTAAAATTTGAAATAATAGAAGGACCCTTGTGCATCATCAAAGGTTGAAAGCGAAAGGGGCAAAAGATCCAGAAGCACATGAGTATATTCTATTGGAAATACGATCCTTATTAACCTTAAACGGTTGAGGTAGCGAACCATATAGGCCGAATGAGTAAGCAGGGGCTGGGTTTGTTATAATCTGACGTGGATATATATCGAACAGTAACAAAAATGTCGCAAATTTTAAAAAAAAAAAAATTGTTTAAATATCGTATAAACAGTAAAAAATTTCAAAATATCACACGTGCTAATTTGCTACAACATGTAACGAATTTTATTTATAAATGTGATATATTTATTGTGGCCACCTAAATCACTAATTAGGTAATCAAAATATTAGTTTACTTTAAACAAAAAATAAGACATATAATGGTCTCTACCAAATTCACTACAGGGAGTAACGAATTTTTGTTTGGAGAAAGAGAAAAAATAAATTAAAAATACAACAATAAATAGAGAGAAAATAAGTTGTACAATGAAGAGAAAGAAATGAAGTTTTAAAATATGTGAATAATCTTGAAGCAATTTTCTTTATTATTTTGAAATATTTTCTGAAAAGAAAACTAAACAGCTAGAATGGGTTAATGATTTTCATTTTCATAAAATGAGTTGAATTAAATTTTTATATTTTGATGGATAAATAATTCGTATTACTTTCTAATTATCTTTAAATTTAATTAAATTCTATAATATTTTTGACTTCTTTTTTCTTTAATTAATTTACGCTGTCAAACTCTTTTGTATATACTGCCATTTACTAATATTTTAACAAATCATTATATGTCATTACATTATTATTTAAGTGACTAAGGGGTGTATTGGATTAGGATTTTAAAAGATTTTTTTGAGCTAAAAAATCTTATAAATTTTAAAAGACTATTTAGAATTGGAGATACTTTAAAGACTTTTTTAAAAGACTTTTTTTACAATCAAGATTTCATAAGATTAGATTTTAAAGGATTTTAATAGAATTTATAAGATTTCAAAGGACAATATGGATTTATAAGATTTTAAAAAATCATATGAATTTTTAACAAACATTCAAAATTACAAGAGTCAATAAATAAAGGAAAATGTTATACTTACAACCTATTTTTGTTTACAATTTGTACAACCATTCGTCAATCAACGGTTATCATTCATTGCAAATGAAATATTAATTAATGAGTTTGATCTGCGAAAATAATAACCATTGATTAACAGAAATCAACGGTTAAGATATGATTGTAAAAGGTTGTAAACAAAAATATGTTGTAAGTATAATCTTTCCCGTAAAAAATAACAAAGAAATGCAATGAAATTAATAAAATAAAATAAAACCTAATATAATTTTCTCAATCAGTAAAATATAATATAATTTTTAACAAACATTCAAAATTACTAAACAACAGCTTTTCACATATCTAATGGGTTGAAAATTATCTTCTTCATTTGGTATCAGAGCTATGCATATATGATTATAAGACCCAATTTTTTTTAATTATAAAAATAATTCTAAATTTGCATATAGAACCTAAAGTTCATAATAAAATTTTGTTTGAAATTTCTTGCAATTGATCTTGAAAACCTTGGGGTTTTTGTTTTACGTGATGATAGTTTTCTAACCATATATCATATGCATATTTTCATTGAATATTTTAAGAAATTTTCGAATCTGAAATTTTTGGGTTTAATTACATGAAAGTTTAAAAAATTTCTCAAGTTTTTTTCAATCGATACATTGAAACCTATTGACACAAAAGTTGTTTGAAATCGTTTCCTACAGTGAAGGAATTTTGTTCATAAATGTATTGTTACGAAATATAAGGTTCATATTATGAAAGTTTCAATCTTTCTTTAAATTGATATTGTTTCATTGTTCAACATCAACAACACATTTATCCCAAATTAATTGGGGTCGGTGGTAGATGTACCTAAATGAAAGATACAAAAAGGTTGAAAAAAGAAACATAAAAGTAAAAATAAAAATAAATAAATAGAATAATAATATATATATATATATATAAATATAAAAGTAAAAGTAAAAAAGAAAGGGAAAAGAAGGGAAAAAGAACTAAAAATGGACCATCTGGAACATAGGAATAACAACGGGTCTAACCCTCCACTATGCTTATATTGTTTCATTGTTGTAAAACGAAAATTGGTTTGAGGATTTTCGTTTCCCTGTTATTTTTTCACTGTTTTATGTTATTTTTAATACAAAAATCACACGTTTTGTGCCAAGAAAAATCACGACCCATAGCTTAAAAAATTACTTTTAAAACCTCCAAAATTTCTCCAAAATGGCTCAAAAATATGTTATTTTTTAGATAGATTATATTAAAATCTCGTTGGTTTGTTGCTTCTGGGTTGTTTTGTGATGAAAATCGCTCAAAAATATATATTTTTTAGTTTTGATAAAGCTCTCATGGCAGAACTCAATTTCGAATAGTCAACCTGCCAAAGGAAGAAGAAAACACTGAAATAGAAGAATCTCAAGAAATCTTAGGGGTTAGAGTGAGATTGTGAGAGAGACATCTTATTTATATTTTTCACTAAAAAGTCTCATGAAGTCCACACCAATAGAAAATTCATTAAAATCGTCGGATTTTTGAATACCACGAGACTGTGACTCCATTGTTTAAAATCCTGATTGAATACCAACAAATTTACACGGATTCTAAAATAATCTTTTAAAATCCTAATGGAATAATACCACGTGACTTTTTTTCAATCCATTAAAATCCTTTGAAATCTCAATCCAATACATCCCTAAAATAATAAAATAAATTAAATAATAAAATCATTGAATATTAGTAAAAGTTTAATAAGACTCGCTAACAATGTATGTTATTTTTCCAGTATAGCATAACTATTTCTAACTTCTCTACCAGTCTATACTCGATATAAAAAAAAAAAACAATTTGTTACCAATTTGTTATTTTTCCAGTATAGCATAACTATTTCAACCACATTCTCTCTCTTGATTGTACAATTTCTTTTCTCTCTCTTGGCTGTTTTGCAATATAATGGAAATAGTGCCTAGATTGCCACATTTTTTATAATTTTTTACCAATTTGTTATGCGAATAGTATTTTTTTTACATACTGTCACGCGTTGAAATTCGTTATGACTGGTAGCAAATTTAGTAGTCAATGATTTCGTGACACGCGACACATTTTAACAAGAAAAGTTGACCTGACGAAGTTCGCTATCAGGGATAGCGAACTTGGTGTGCTATGATTCACAATCTCGTTATCCGATCAGAATTAATGTACCAATCACAATCAAAAAAATAAATCGAATGAAAAATGCTATTTAATCGATATATAATCATAATTAATATATCAATCATCAATCATAACTAGTGTATTTCGTTAGACCGATAACAATATGTATAAAATAATAATCTATCGAATAATAATGTTCCACTTCGAATTCATTAGACCGATAACAAGTATTTGGTTAGAGTTCAGAATTCGACGATAGGTATTGAAGGTATGTCAAACTTAATACTAAGTGAATATCTTAGCGCCACGTGGTATAAAACAGAGTTGGCTTTTTGACTTTTTTGTTTTTTATTAATTAATTAATAATTATTTTATCTTTTATTAAAAATTATCTATCAATCTGCTTTTTTTAATCGATTAATTTAAAAATTTAATCGATTTAATAATTAAAATTAACAAAAATCATTAACTTAAAAATTTAATTAATTAAATATTTATCGTAATCGATTAAATCTTCAACAAATTCCATTGCAATTGCAGGTGCTTGTGACTCTAAAAAGTGCAAATAAACTAGTAACAGATAAGATAAACAGCTCTATCATTTTAAGGCTTTTAGATAAATAATAATTGTTTTTCAGTTGGTGCAACCGCACGCGGGCTCTGGTTGGTTGGTCCGCAATATTTTTTACACTAAAGAATTATTCACTATTCTTTATTCTGTTTCGTATTGTTAGTATTATTAAATCTGTTCCTAAAGCATCCACGAGCCGGGCCCACCAACCGACCCTAAGGAATGCGGATGAGACACTTCTCCAAATACACTGTGTCCTCTATAATTCCCTTTTCAATCGGCTGCTTGGTTGTAATTGTAAAAATAAAGAAAATAGTAAGATTTAATCGATTAAATCTTCAAGTTAATGATTTTTATTAGTTTTAATTATTTAATTGATTAAATATTTAAATTAATCGATTAAAGAAGGACAGATTGATAAATAACTTTTAATAAGAGACAAAATAATTATTAATTAATTAATAAAGAGCAAAAAGGTAAAAAAAAAACCAAGCAGAGAGCTGGTGGAGAAGATGCAATTTCTTGCGGAAGGATTTTTAAGTATGGAATAGGATACTATAATAATTAATTAATGTTATTATCAATATTATTATGAATTAATTTTACTGTTAAATTAATTATATTAATTCAACGGTTATATTTATTTACATCTTTGTATAGATATGATTCTTCATATTTAATGTGAAAGTATTAAATATGAAAAATCATAACCATACATAAAAATAAATTTAAAATATTAAATAGGAGAAAGTATAATTATACAAAGATAAAAATAAATATAATCATTAGATAAATTTAATTGATTTAACGATAAAATTAATTAATAATAATATTAATAATAACCTTATTGATTGTTACAATATTTTTTCGCTTTATGTATTGAGTTACTTTTTTCGAAATAAAAATTGCTTGGTGAAGGGGTTAACGTTAGCCCAAGAACCAGGTAGTATAAAATAAGAAGTCACCTCACGTACGACAGCAATAGGCAATAGCGATTAGCGATACCTATTTTTGTTTTCAGATCCAAAGAGTGTGGAGTCTCGCTACCGAGATAATGGGTTTAATTAGAAGCAGCTTTTCGTTCATAATAGGCACTGCTTTAGGAGTGTACGTGGCTCAGAACTACAAAGTCCCCAACATTAAGATGATCACCTCCACCGCCGTAGCAATGGCCAACACCATCGAACAAGCTTACAGGAAGCCCAAGAAGAATGACGATTGACGATGATTCTTAGTCCCCCCTCTAAATCCCTCTTCCTGTTCCCTTCACTTTTCTTTATTTTTGTCTTGTTATGCGGGTGTCACATCCTTGCTTGGCGCTCTGTGTATCTCTGTTTATTGTGCTTCTTAATAGAGAATTTTTGCACTTTTAATTTAGTACGAGAAACGCCTTTGAATTTATAAATATTAATCTGCTTTCCCCCCAAAAAAATGTAACTCTTATTGCACATTCAATTTGAGCCAACGATTGAATTCTTCAGAAACCACCACCTATTATAATCGTTATTAGGGTTTAACCGCATGATGCGATATCAAACCCTTTTTCTGTTGCAATTATTCGTATTTTTTTGTAATTGGAACGAACTGATCGTTGTATTTATTCACGAGTATATTTGGCTCACCAAATTAAGGCAAAGAAAATACGGTTAATAGCATCTTTGTTTGACAATGACACCCCTTCCCCTAAAACTCTGATTGGCTTCTTGTCATGTGGATCCAATACTATTTTTTAATCCAAAATCTCAAGATTTTAAGTTTATGGGTTCGTTTATTTATATCCACCTCGTATAGCCTATTACCAATAAAAGTGTAACACCACATTTTAGATCCAGTTTGTTATCACTAACTTACGGGTAAAAAATTTCTTTTAAAAACCCTAGCTTTATGCTTTCCTTGATTATTAACATACATATTCAACATGCGTAATTGTAACATCTAATCATTGCGAAATTAATTAATAAAGGCTTAATATCATGTGTCAAGTAGCTATTAAAACTGCATCAACTCGCTATAGCGAGCTATCCCTTCCTCGTCGAGCTAATTAAATTTGAACCCGAGAGCATCTCAACTGCAGAGGCTTGCTCGCTTGAACAGCTCAACATCACACTTGAAAATCTCAATAATTTTCCCTTCTAGTGTGCTCCCCTTCAATCAAGTATCTAGACCCAAAGTACTTAATCCGCTCTAGCCAATCATCAGGCTAGCTGGAATCCAATCCAATTCTAATATTACTGTCAGACAAGTTCAGAAGGAGCCCATGACTGAAGACTACTACTAATGGGCCATATTGAACCAACCACACTAAATGAATCCAATACCATATATTTATCCAAAATCTTAAAGTATTGAGTTTATGACTCTATTCACCTATATATGTTGTACTTACTCAATTACGAACTAATGTGCAACTATATCACACCTAAAATCCCAATACTTTTGTTATCAAAAAAAAAAAAAAAATCCCAATACTTTTCAACACATGTGGAATCTGATAATTCAGCTGAAAATATGATTGTTGGCTGTGTTTGAAATAATTTTTTTATATAATTTATTTAGTTTATAAATAAAATTATTTTTTAAAAAGGAAAATTAAGAATATATTTAATTTTAAAGTCCTTTTGATTTAGAGGTCAATCAATATAGATTTTCTTCCATTAAATTAAATATAAATTGATTTGATTTTTATTTTGGTTTAAATTGATATATTTATCCTTATTAATAAAATTAAATTAAATTATTGATATACAATTGATTAATTAATTTTTGTCATATTTCAGACATAAAAGGTTTATTTGTTTACGATGTTTAAAGAAAAAATAATTCAAAATATTTAAAAAAATTGTAATAATAAAATAAGTTTTTTTTAAAAATAAATTAAATAAAAATTGTTGCTTTTTCCAATATTTAAAAACAATAACTTCTAAAATAAATTCAGAGAAAGTATTTCACCTATTACAGAACCCAAAGCTATCCGCGATTTCATTTAAATACCTTTATTCTTGTTTTGTTTTTTTTTTTGGTACAATATATACCTTTATTCTTTTCACATATCATAAAACGATATATTTTGAAATTTCAGAAAATAACTTTATCTCATGAAAAGAAATATCAAACCAAACTTTAATGTTTTTAAGGTGTAAATAAATTATCTATATTCACTTCCAAAACAACATTAATTTGAGTTGAAAAATATAAAAATTATAATAATAAAAAAGACTATTATAATCCTAAAATAAATTATAATTATAAAATACCTTGATTTTTATCTCAAAATAAACGTCTGGGCACAATGTAAATAAATTATCTACATTGACTACAGAAAAAGCGAACCCATCATAAAAACACATTCTTTTCCATAGAACAATCGACCAAAATTATATGGCTCTTCTACATATATCAAGCTAAAAATTTCAAGAGTAACCTTAGTTTTTCCTTAAAAAAATAACCACTTAAAAAAAGTTAAGACTTTTTCTCTATATCTTGCTAGAATCCCCGCGTTCCATAGGTACGAGACTAATATTCATTGAGGATAATGAAGCCACTCATCACAGAAGCCTCTCTGCTTGTATACCTCCTGTGGATAAAATAGATCCTTTTAGGTAAATATTATCTTCCGCTGATCGTCTTCAATAATAATTCCTAAAAATTGCTGAAATACCCTAAACTGCAAAAATAGTGCAATACCGTACAAATACCTATAATCTGATGACCAATGACGAACTTATATTCGCCTTTTAATAATGGTAACAACTACTAGGTAATATTCTTCACATGAACAGGAAAATCAGACACTCTAAATATGCACGTTACTAGTGGTCATTGTTGATATTTCCAGATAGTCACTAGATGAACCACACAAAAGAACAAATATCCCTTAAGTTACAAAAAGAATGCATGTTATCTAAAGCATGAGTCAGTTCCCAGCAATCTGATTTCCAAGCTACCGTAAACCCACACTTTCAACTAGTGTTTCTAAGTCCGAAATGTTATCTCCCCCCCTCCCAAAAAAAAACACCTGCCGAATTAATCTTTTTTGCGTTTCGTCATCATTTCTAGAATAGTCAGGAACAATAAGGAAACTAAGATAAAAAAGCATGGTGAAAGATCGAATCTCGAAAATACTTAGGTCTTCTTCATGAGATACCCCATAATTATGCCGAGTAAACCAATCAATATGACAAAGACAATCGAAACACCCCCACGACTTTTGCTGCTTTCACGTCTCAGCAGGTCCTGCACGTAATAAGATCATCGGAAGTAAGTGTTTCCACCAATTCAAAAGTAACATTCAAAAGTAACATCAATACAAATAGATCATAACAAATTATGTTGTCATCTGTACTTTCTGAAACGAACTTTGAGAGAACCTCACTCCAAAAGCTAGCTCAAGAGGTAGAAAAGCTCAAAGTCCATATAAACCCCACACATTAATCACCCATACAACTAATGTGGGACTCCAAGTCCCATAACTTTGGAGTAGGATTGTAACATTTTCAATTATTTTATTTTTTAAATAAAGAGAGATTGTAATCAAATGCACGACTAAAAAGGATTTTCAATATATGCTCTAGACTTCTAATGTAGAATAGCCTTAGCCTATCGCCTGACTGGATAATTCACTTTCTTCAGGACCAACTACGTCTGCCCTAAGTGTTTCCACCAGTTCAAAAGTAACATTCGAAAGCAGCAACAGTAATACAAATAGATCCTACCCAATTCTTCTGTCATCGTGTACTTTTCAATTAAAAAAAAAAAGATTTTCGATATATGCACGACTAAAAACCACTAAGACGATTTTTGACTTGTTTCAACTTTCAAATTCAACATAAACGGGCAAGAAAGCAATTGACAGGAAAATAAGCTTTCTTAAGAGATCGTTCCAGAGGCAAAAATGCACAAATTGAACAGAAACGTAGGTTAAAGATGTAAATTATGGAATTAATATGAAATCATATGAAGCAAAAATAACCAAGATGTCCTGCACAAATGTTCCTGCCATCAGTTTCCCAGTGCTAAGCAATTGAAACTCATTACTCACAAACAATACACAGCATATCAAGAAAAGGGAAAGATTGTTGATTAAACACCCTAAAAATATTTTAAGGAAGAAAATAAAAGCAAGAATTCTATTCAAGTAAAGACCACCTCCTAAAGTTACTTTGACATCAACATCAACAACACTTTTATCCCAAATTAATTAGAGTTGGTGGCAGATGAACCCAAATGAAAGGTACTAAAAGAGTGATAAAAAAAGATAAATTTAAAATCTTAAAAATATATATAACATTATCCATTAAAAAATAGAAATAAACAATTACAAGGAAAAATAAAGTAAAATAAAGTGAAAATAAAGATACATAAGAGAACAAAAAAGAATAAGAAAGTAAAAATAAAAAATAAGAAAAAAATAGAGGGATAAAATCTAAAATAAAATAAAATAAATAAAGAAAAATAAAATACATAAATAAATAAATAAGAAAGATTGAGAGGAAGAAAAGAAGGAAAGAAATTAAAACAAAAACAAAAATAAAATAAAAGGGGAGGAAAAGAAAGAAAGAAAGAGATATAATTGGGAAAAGGACTAAGAGATCATATGGAACATACGAAGAAAAACGGGTATAACCTTCCCCAATGTTAATAGCTTTCCTCCAATCTATCCTAAGACACATCGTCTGCCAATCTATATCTCACTCCATTAAGTCTTATTTTCATACCTTCCCCCAAATAAGTTTCAATCGACCTCTTCCTCTCTTGGTAACAAGCTTTTGTTTTTATGGAAGCATCTAGGGATCTTCCTATTACGTGCCCAAACCACCTCAATCTATGTTCTCTCATCTTTTCAACCGCCAATACTACTCTTACCTTCATCAAATATCTTCATTTCTTATCTTATTCATCCTCGTATGACTATACATCCACCTTAACATCCTTATTTTCGCTACTCCCATTTTATGCTCATGTTGTCTATGTGCTTGCCAACATTCAACTCTATATAACATTGTATGCCTTATTGTTACTCTATAGAATTTTCCTTTTAACCTAAGGAAAATTTTGCGGTCACACAAAAACCTTGATGCACTACGCCGTTTCATTCACACTGCTCTGATTCTATGATTTATATCTTCATCAATCTCTAAACCTTAAAGTTACCTTGATGAACCTGTTAAATACTTCCACAGTTCCACATCCCAATCAGAGCATCATGTGTTTTTACTTTTAAGTTCAAGTTAGGTTTCCACAGAAATTGTCAGAATGGGTATTGATGACATATGATGACAGGCCGGATATTGAGATGATAGAACACATAATATCCTAGGTAAAATACTAAAATAGTGCCACAATCACATAAAATTGTATTGTAGTAAGCAAAAAACAAGGGAGAAGGGGGTCGGGGAGATAAAACCAGAAATTCTCATCGAATTATATTATATGAAAATCTAATACGTTGAAAAAGGGGAAGAAGTAAGTCCTTTTTAAGAAAATCAACACATCCACCAGGCTCAGTTACGAACCAGTGGCCAATCCTTCAAAATATTTATGACGTTCCTATTATTTCTGGTGCTTTCCTTCAGTTTTAGAACAATACTACCCACTTGAGGAAGGGTAATAGTCCTGATCAAGAGAGTTCATATTTCAGATTTAATTAACCTCGCCACTCCTCATTCAGGAAAAAACAGAGCAATAAAGACCAGTCAGATGGGGAGATAAAAGTTATCTATAATATATATTTTGTAAATCCTCACCAGTTCCTGACGAAGCTTGTTGCTTTGTTGAATTGCATTATTCTTTTCTTCTGCCAGCCTTGAGATAAGAACTTTTGCCTGCAACAAAGTAGCTAGAATCAAAATAAAGTCGCCACACAAAAAAACCCAAGAAGTTAAGAGGATTTAAAAAAATTTACATCCCGTGAACTAAATATAGAAGAAACTCGTTTTTTTTTTTTTTTGTCTTGCTAATCCAAGATTGATAGGTCATACAACATGATGTGTTGGTACTTGAAAATATGAACTTATCCCTTAGCTATGAAATTATTAGACCACAAGGAAATTTTGGTTGAAATCATTTAATAGCATTCTTTAGAATCTGAAGCAGAACACCGCAACCCACAAAAGTTGCATGCATCCTAAAGCTATATGAAATGAGTCTAAAAACACCTGAAATATATCACTTTTAATTCCAGAAAGTTATTTCCTATAAGCCATCTTTTTACACAAATAATCTACATTATATGAGTATGTAATTATGTATATGCATTCAATGTCATTCATTGATATAACACGATATGATTTCTAGATGTCTACAACAAAAAAAGTAGTGAATACCTACATAAAGGGAAAAAACAACTGAAAAGAAATCAAAACAATCATTTAATAACAATGACAGGGCAAGAATTCTCTAAGCCTCAAAGTCATTATCATTAGTAACTACTCTTGTTAAAACCACAATTTTCAAATGCTGGTATCCAAACACTTCAGCACACAACTCAGCTATGAAATTTTCTTCCAATCAATTTGCTTGGATGAGACTGTTTCTTAACAACTCAATTGTGTATATCTACATCACCAGCTTAGCACATAATACATAACACAGCCCAGAACTCCCAACTTTATAACCAGGGCCAAGAGAGAAAGACAGAGAGAATATCACCCAGTCAAATAAAGTTGCAAATTGACCAAGTGATACATGTATAAACAAGAAAGTTCAATTCTCTTTAACATTCTTTCCTGAAAAATCGATACATGTAAGCAACAACTAATGTGTTAATTAAAACAGCAGCCATCCACAAATCAAAATGCATGCTGACAAACAACAAATACACTATAAAAAAAAAAGTCGCTTTCCTCTACCTCAGCAGATTTTTCTGGAGCCACTTGTGGTTCAGTAAATGCTCTTGTTACCTGCAATACCCAAAGGGAAAGGTATCCCAGTTGATATCACTGGATTTTTTATAAAGAAGAAAGAAAGGTCCACCCAAACCAGGAACAAGATAAGAACTCACTGTCGTGGAGTCAGCACCGTTGGCATTCCCATTTTCGGAAACAGAGCCTCTAGGTGATGACCCTTCCTCAGAGCCTTCTAGGACTGGTGAAGGTGGTTGAGGTGGAGAGACATACACCACTCTCAATTTGCACTCCTCAACCACGTGCCCTGCTTCCTTGTTGAACTGAAAAATCCCAATGGCAGATGTCTTGTCATTTCACCCAATGTAAAGATTAAGAAATTAAAAAGAATCAAAGGAAGTTGTAATGGCAATTAGCATGATGTATTATACCATTTCTGCAGTGATATCCTTTGGGCTGACTCCATCATTTGTTTTGACGCTCTGAAGAAGAAACTTATCCTTGCATTGCATGTCAGGTGGAGCTTCCTTTTGCGCTTGCATAGTTACTGGGGAAAAAAAAAAAAAAAAGACCAAATGTCAAGAAGCCATTGATTGACGAAAAATGACAACTTAGATTAAGAATAAAAGTTGGGGAAAGGCAGAGGGAGAAAGTAATATGCATTCAGATTATTCTATTCGCATTAGTACCTGTAACATCACATGTGGATCGTGGCAAGACAATTCCAGTGTTTGGACGAACACAATACTTCTTGGGATTGGTAGTTTTCACCTGGGAAAAAAATCAAATACAAATTTAAACATGCAAATCTCGCAAGAGCTAACCAAGACTGATATTGGTATTAGGGTAAATTATCAGATCTTATAAGTTTGGCAAAATAAAAGTCACAACCAAATCATACTCCAAAACCAAAAGAAAATAAAAAATAAGAAGCACTCTGAAACGAGAAGTGGTGAAATGAAACGTAACCTTGAAAGCTACATAGCTATCGGTCTTATTTGACAATTGAAGAGAACATGAGATCTGCTTCTTCAGCTCAACTGAAATAAGGAAACAAGAGTGCCAAATCCAAATCAAACACACAACAAACCCTAGAAGAAGACAACGAGATCCACGGGAAAAGAAGAGCATAAAAGAAGGAAAGAAAAATAAAGGGGGGGAGAACGCACAGAAGAACTTAAGTTCGACAGGTTCGATGCTGAGAAGCTCCCCAGTGCTCATCTCGGATCAATGGGTCTCGATAGTAGAAGCGCGATCTGCAGAATCTGCGTAGAGAAATCGAGATTGTGCAGAGAATTTGGCTCCGACAACAGCAAAGATGGACGGAGAGATCGACGAGGGGGAGAAGGGAATTGAAATGCAAATGTGATTATGACAAACAATAAAGGGATTCTTATTCAATTTCCTTTTTTATTCTATTTTCTCTGTGGTGGAGAGAATGTGGCCATTTCCAAGTGCGTTCAAACTTAAATTACCAAAAAAAAAACATTAAAAGATTCTAACATGCCCAAAAATAAAATCATTACATTAATATCAATTAAAAAGAACAGAGTTAAATTGATAATAATTAAAAATTTACCATTTTAACATTAAATGAATATTAATTAATTATGATTGATATTAATTAGAAATAATATTTATTGTCTCAAATCCTTATCTCTCTTTGTTTCTATATTTTTTTTCAATTCTCAATATCCTTATCTCTCTTTCCCTCTCTTCTAATTTTCTAAATTCCTAATATCGTCCACAACAACCTAATTGTGTGTGTCTCCCGAGGAGGGAGAAATAATAAGAGGCTTTCGCCAACATAAGTTGATAACTACTATATTCACTGTCATACTCTCATGGCATTTACGAAGCTGCCAACCCTGGGAGCATATTTAGTGCTCCTCAATCACATAATATTGTTGGGTGAAAGTAGAGACGGAAACTGAGCTGGCCGACCCGTCCCGTTCCATTCCGTCGTTAACTCATCAAAAAATGAATCAATCTATTTCATTTTGTTTTTGAAAGTGGGCTAAAAAATTTAGTCTGCCCCGCTCCGTTTGATGAGTTGGGTGGGTTAGCCTACCAGCCCAAGCCTATTTTACACTAACCCACCTCGACCCGCCTATGTCTGTCAAAAAATAAGTCCGTCCTGTCTCATTTTTTAAGATGAGTTGAAAAACTTAACTTGCCGTGCTCAGTTTAGCGGATGGGACGAATTAGACCGCCGAGCCAAGTCTGTTTTGTCATCTACAGGTGAAAGAGTGATAAAGAGGAAAAAAAAAAACTGATGAGAAAAAAAAAATTAAATATTTTTTAAATCAGATGTTAAATTTTTAATTGAATGACGACGGTGATGTGATCCAGATGCACTATAAATTTTTTTCCAACCCTGCAGGAGTAGGGCTCACCGGTTACACAATCAATCGTAGTTCATACTGAATCCCTCACGCATCATTACGGATCTCTAAACTTACCTACTTCTCATTAATATGTCATTATTGCCCTTTTACTCAGAACGAAAAACTACACTGTAAACGATGGACATTCTTTTGCAAAATATAAGTAAAAAGTAAGAAATGAAAGATTTTATTAATATGTTTTTAAGATACATATTAACAAATAAGAATAAATTTTTTATTATTATTTATTTTAAAAAAAAGTTAAATTTTTTTAAATTTTTAACATATTTAATAATTAATCATTTTATTTTTATTTTAAACTCCTGAACTTATCTTTTAAAAACACATGTTAACAAAATACTTAAAAAAAATTATACATTCAAAATACCAAAGAATTTTATTACTAGCTTACCAAAAAAAAAAGAGAATTTTATTACTAGCTCTTTTAAGTAATTAGGATCATTTAAAAAAAATATTAAATGCTCCTTAACTAATATTTTCTAAGATAATCGTTAATTACTAGAATTTATGTCTAAATATTTTTAAAATAACTTTTTATTTTATAAAATATTATTCTAGTTCTACTAATCGACAGTGAAGACGAATTATTTTATAAAAGTAGTCGAGAGTGATGACAAACTATTTTATCTAAAATAAGTGTTACTAACGTGGGAAAGGTTATAGTTACTATTTTTTTTTCTTACTATTTGTTACTACCAAATCTTAACCGTTGATTTCCGTCAATCTAATGGTTATAATTTTTTGGATCACACTTATTAATTAATTATTAATTCTAATAAATTACAACCGTTAGAATGACGGAAATCAACGGTTAAGATTTGGTAGTAACAAGTAGTAAGAAAAAAGGTAGTAAGTATAATCTCTCCCTACTAATGTTATAGAAAAATGGTCTCATATGAGAGAAAGAAAGTAAAATTAGAGAGAAAATTATGAAGTAATTGAAGGAAAAATAAGAGAATGTACTCCGAAAGATGTCATTATTCATTAGTATGATAATACCCATTTATATAGTGTTACAACAATGAAAGGTAATTAAACTAGTATTAAACAATCATAAAATGAGGGATAAATGCCAACAATTACAATCATAAATTGGGGGGATAAACGTCAAAAGTTTTCGGAATTTTAATTACTGTTCACGATACAAAAAGTCATCCATTTTATAACACTCCCTCTTGAACGATGATATACTATGAATATACCTCATTAAAACCTTACAAAGAAAATATACACTGAGATAAAATCTTAGCAAAGGAAAAAAAGTAATTAGTATACAATCTTTGTTATACATTAACTTAGACGGTCTTATTAAAAACATTTTCAAGAAAAAATTCAGTGGGATGAAAATTTAGTAAAGGAAAAAAGAGTACGGTGCATATAACTCACCTTCAGTTAAGCCATATATAGCTACCGCTAAAACTAGGGGTGATAAACGAACCAGGGGCCTTTGGCTCGGCTCGGAAAGACCTGAGCTTATATGCCTAAAATTTATTGTTGGAACCAGGCTTGAATATGTATAAAAGTTCGTTTAATAAAAAGGCCTCAAGCTTCAATTTAAAAGCTCGGCCTTAGAGCCTCTCAGGCTTAGTATATTAATTTTTATTTTTATTTTATATTTTTTATACTACTTGTAATAGTCATCTCTCTCCTCAATCCATTTCATCCTATTTTATTGGTTAAACAGACTTTTTGAATGATTTTATTTTATATTATATTGTTTGGATGTACATTGAATTTATGAATATTTATGGAATTATTAGTGCTGTTGACTGTACATCCTGTTTAGATAAACTTTTTATTATCTTTTTTTTTTAACAGGCTAACAGGTTAAATCATGCTTTCATTTTTTATAAATAAGTCAGGCCACAGGCCAATAATTATATTATAACAGTTAACAGGCTTGATTAGGCTGACACATTTAAACACAAGCTGATCAGGCTAATACATTTAAATACAAGTTGATCAGGCTTTTAAGATCAAAACTCGATTCGGCTCGATCCGTTAACACCCCTAGGCTGAAACTAAAGAAGTGGAATAATAACTACAATTTTCCATAATGTCTATTGCAATTATATCCATACCTTGTTAAAACCTTGCTAGTAAAACCGGCCAAGTAAAAAGAATACATGACATGTGTTACCAAACATTATAGAAACTGCCTCATTAATATATAACTCTTGAGTTAAAAATTTAAAATTGATATCAAAGTAATTTGTATAATTTAAAAAAGGAAATATGAAAAAACTTGAGTTAATGTTTAATGGTACACGTATTTAACATGCCTATATTTGTCGTAAATATATACATATGGCAGATGTCTGTACAACCACTATGATAGAATCTGCCAGAGTCTGCTGAACTTTCATCTAATAATAGAAGGGGAAAATAAAAGGAAAAACAGACGGTCATGTCATTTCCCATTGCTGGAGGAAAGACATTGTATATGCTGTGCAAGTTCTTGCAAGGCCTGGAAGAGAAAAGGAAAGGAAAAACAGACGGTCATTTCACATTGCTGGAATGGAAGAAAGATTCATAAATGTTGTTGAGCTCACCATCTTGGTGTCCTGAAGTGCATCTTCCAGTGTCTTGATTTTCTGCTATATGTGTATGAATATCAGCAAAATAACCGCTAATCATTTTGGATTGCCTTGGTTTAACATTAGAGGAATCATCATATGAAAAACTTACATTCTTGGTGTCTCCAAGAGCAGCTTCAAGCCCATTAATTTTTTGCAATGCTAACCTACATGCTGAGTCTGTTTCCGCATATGCAGTCTCCTCAAGTGCCAGACTCAAGCCACTTTTGTTTTGCATATCAACCTGCATTTCATCATGTTAAGCAAGGGGACCCATATAATTATAGGTAAGAAAAAGGTGAATAATTTCAAACCTTTTTGGGCACCAAGAAATTTTCCGAAGCCACATCACCATTTTCATGTTTACCATCGATCTCTTCTCTCAAGGAAATTGCCTGCATAATTAACGAGATATCATATTAGACAATAATATAAAACTATTAAAAAGACTCTCACGTAACACCTTAAGGTATTGTGTTGAAGTGATTTTTTATATGGTATCAGAATTTCAGCGATCATAATGTCACGAGTTCGATCCTCACCGCTCCTTACTCATGGAATTAAATAAGCATAAAAAAAAAAAAAATTGAACTATGTAATATCCACTTTTCAAGCCCTCTTACTTGAGTGAGTGTGTTAGAGAATAATATAAAATTATTAAAAAGGCCTTCACTCAATACCTTAAAATTTTGGATTGGAGTGGCTCTTTATAGATCTCTTCTCAATTGTTTCAAGATGACAATTGAAAATACCAACACTAGTTGGGTCCAAAAGTTAAAAGATGTCATTGGCAGTATTGCCTACCTGAATCATTTCTAACAATTCTGGGTTTTTCCAGGGCCCTCGATCACTCATTAGGCAACCTCCAAAATCAGAACATGTGCAGTTACCACCCAGAAAAGTTGGCATATTACTGTAAAATCAGACAATTAAATCCAGGAGCTTCATTAAGTACAGAACCTCATACACACGTTCACTTGTAAGTAGTAAAAAAATTCATCAACAAGGTATCAAGTTGTTACTATGATAAAATCATGGCTAAACTAAGCAGAAGTCACGTTACCTTGGATCAATAGCCTCAAGCAGCACATTGAGATAATTAGAACCCAACACCTGAAACAGCAAACTTGCAGGTTCAACATAAATACGAGGTCGAGAGTAATACAAACAGAATATAGTATGTGCAACCTCATTGTATCTGAAAATGAATAATATGGAATTTAAATGATCCATACTTGAATTTTTGCTACTGTGCGTACATCTAGGAATGTCTTCACTGCTTTCCACAGCATCCTAAACCCAGATCCGGCATTAATAATAAAGAGCTGATTTAGAGTCTGCAAGAAAATTAATGAATATTAACTAACTGCACACTAATGCTCATAAACCGAACATTTAGCAAACTATTTTGAGTACAAATTCCTGCATGTCTTCCTACCAAGAGTAATCAATAAGTTCAACCTTGCATCAGAAAAAGAATATCAATATCTCGAGGGGAGATAAAGAAAAACATGTAGGCAAACTGTAAATAGTGATAGGAATTTATCCAAAACAAAACAAGGATTAGTTAATATCGGGGACTGTTTGTTACAAAAACTGAAAAATTCTCAGGTTTGCAACCTCTACTTCTCTATTTTGCACCATTAGTGTACCATAAATTTTGAATGAAAACCAGAAACTGTTTTGGTAGAAATAAATACCTTTTTTTATTATTGAAACATAAGAAATGTTATATTTACAAACTATACTATATATTAGGTGTAGTACATAGCGTAGTTTTTAAAAATTTGTAAAAAAAAAAATTGTAAACTCCCCTTAAAACATTGTTATAAACCTGAAAACTATTCCGTTGTCTTATCAGTAGATAAACTGATTTCCAGGTTCACACATTTATCACAAGCATTTATAAATCATCTGCTTATGAGCTACATTCTAAAAAAATACCTCAGGATAGTAACTGCTATCGATCCTCTGAATTTCCGTAAAGAGGTACCTTGCGGGCTTTGAGAAATTAGACATTCCCTGGAAGAATACAACCAAATAATCGTTCAGCATTCGGAGAACCATATAGATAAGGACCGTGAGAAAATGAAGTGTATCTAGATAGGTTTCATTTTGGATATTGTTTGCTTGAAAGATAAAAGCCACTTTCCTCTTATGTAAGAATTTGTGATTCCCAAGTCCCCTATAGGAAGAATTCTGAAACAGTTGAACAGGAAAATGGCAAGCTCTAATAAAAAGGTAAAAATATATAGAAAAAATCTGCTTACTACTCCGTTGACATCCAAGATACTTGTAGTGGATGCTATGTGCCTTTTAGCTGCCAGAGAACATGCAGGGTATCTTACTCCTAGTGTTTTCTCTTGTTCTGATACATGATACTTGATAAACCTCTCAAGTGTGGTTACTTGCATCAGTTTGTCAAGGTCTACCATCCCAATTCTCTCAATATATACAGGTCTGCCATCTCTATCAACTCCGTGGTATCCATGAGGATAGCATTTCTTCACTTCTGTGTACTCCGTAAATTTGAACTCCTGATTAAGTACCAAAATGTGAATCCCATAAACAAATCAAATTCAACAGTAGTCAGTAGCATCATAATTGAACTGAATTTTAGCATGAAGACAGACGGTTAAAAGAACTTGATGATTTTAAACAAAATTTACAACAATTAGTCAAGAGGTGAAGAAATTCTAAATTCAATCTTGAGGAATTGACACCAAGTTCGCATCGCTAAATTACCAATCCATCGCAACATAGCAACCAGAGCCCACGAGTTAGCAGAGTATGTTCTCAAAGAGGCACGTCAATATAATGGCTCTTTAAGCAAGGTCACAAAGAGCCACCTAAATATAATGGTTCTTTGAGAACTTGAATTAAATATGGGTTTTCGTTTTATCTTTTAACATAACACAACAAACTTTCCTACCCTCACAATATTTTGTGGGGTCCACACTTTTTAAAACAAAAAAATAAATAAAAAATTATGGCACGCAAAACGAATCTCTATAACATTACACAATCACTTTTCCTACCACATAACAATCATAAAACCCATTAAATATCTGGCATGTTATTTAGTCAAAACATGTTTCTTAAATAGTTTTTTTTTTTTGTCATGGCCTAGCTTAGACCTTTTTAAAAGTCTAACCTAACAGGAAAGTCTATTTAGATAATAATTTGGCATTAAGGTAGATAATGCCAACAAGCCTACTTCTAGACAAGCTAAACAATAGACTAAGCATTTTAAATAGATCATTATATATACTTTTAAATATACTAGCGGACTAGCAGGTTAAGCTTTTTAAATATACCAAGTATATAATATGAATATTGAAAAATTATATATATATATATATATATATATATATATATATATATATATATATATATGGTTTAATTTTCTTACCAAACTGGAGATAACTTATTTGTGGTTATTTCAAAATAATATCATTTTAGATTTGGAGAAAAAATATGTTTATAATTTTAATTTATTTTGGATTATATTAATTTTTATCGTTATATTTTTTTCAAACTAAAAAAGATGTCCTTTTGGTGATAGAAATTAACTTTATGCCATACAACAAAAGATATATATAGAGAGAGGATATTCTTACACTAGTGTAAAAATAAAAAGTGCTACACCAAATCTTGATCATTGATATTGATTTACTTGTATCTAACGACTCAAATATCTAATAAATAAGAACTATTTGATATAAATAGTAAATAGGATCAATAAACAAGATTAACAGTGTAACTTACACCGGTATAAAATGATCATGCCTTATATATATATATATAATATGAGAGAGATCGTTTGACTCCAAAGTAAAAATTTTTAAGTATTACTCCCTATCCTAACCATTCATTTCCATCCATATTATAATTTAAGAAGTTATATTAATTAATTAATTATTAATTATACTATAAATGACAACCATTGATTTTCGTTCAACAACGGCTGAGATGGAGAGTAAGACTTACAAGTCTTATTTTGGAGTCAAAAGAATCTTTCCCATATATATATAGGGCCATAATACTTTAAAAAAGTATTTTATTCAGATTATATATATATAATCTGAATAAAATACATTTTTAAAGTATTGAATCATGACCTATTTATCTAAGAGTAAATATCATTTTTAGTCCTCAGCAAATTTCACGATGCCCGCTTTAGTCCCTAGCAAATAAAAAGGTTATTCGTGGTCCCTAAGAAATTCAAAATGGATCCATTTAGTTGAAATCGTGGTCTCTCATAAATTCAGAAAAGACCCACATTAGTCCATCAAAATAACTAAAATGGATCCACTTTGAATTTCTTAGGGACCACAAATAGCTTTTTTATTTGCTGAGAATTAAAACGGGTATCGTAAAATTTGCTGAGCACCAGGATATTTACTCTTTAACTAAATAGAACTTTGAGGAGAAAAAAAAACTTAGCTTAGCCGTTTTATTGAAAAAGCTAGGCCAAGCTAAGTCATAAGCTCTAATAGATTGTGTGACCTATTTCCACCCTTATGTGCTATGTTAATAACCACTCTAATATATTAATAATATGTTAATAATCACTCTATGCCATCCAGACATCACAGAAAGAATTATTAAAATTATATCGACAATGCAGCATGTAACGACCAAATAGAGTTATCAATTTCACATTTAAAAATTAATATATCTTAAGAGTTTCAGGTTGTTCACCTTTGCAAGCGTGTCTACTTGAAAATCCTCGCGCCATTTCAGATAGTGCTGAAACATATCTTTGGATTTTGACATGTCAAAATCCCTCATTCGCAGAAACCTAACATCAAAGGCGATGCAGGTTAGAAAACCAACTGTGCAAACTTGCCTTAGAATAATAGCAGGAGACATAGATACCTTAGAAGAGTATGATAATCATTATGCTTAGGCGATAAGAGACCTTCAACAAAAAGCATTTTGCGGAAAGACTCGACAATTTGTTCATCTCTTGGATCAGGAGCTCCTTCTAGAATCACTTTCAGGCTTTTACTCCTCCTAAGTTTCATGAGCGGGTAAGACAACAGTGATTTGAAGGATGAAGAAGCTTTTTTCCCTTCTGGCGAAGGGAGATGCCAATGCGTTTCAATCGGGGGATGAATAGATTTTTTCCTACCACCACCAGAATCAAACCTCAATCTCTGAAAACTTGAAAATGATTCATCTTTTCCATCACTTCTTGCTATAGCAATATCCTTGTACTCTGCCTTGGCCTTCGGACTTTTCATTTGTAAGGAGAATATGATATAATACTGAAAATGTGCATTGATACAAAACTATTGAATATGGCTTTGCCTTGAAAACTCTATTAGCAGACAATTTTTCCCACGATATTTTTTATAATAGTCGAAACTCAGGAATCAAAATCAACACTTGAAATCTTATACCTCACATAAATGAAAAACGTATTTGCTCACCATATTATTGATAATAGAATTTTCACAACTAGCTTAAAAAAAAATTATAAACCTAAGGGTGGCCAAAGAAAATTATCAAATTCAAAATAATAATAATCTTATGCGAACCATGTGTCAGGGTGGATGGATGAACAAAAAGTGAGAACAGCAGAATTAAAAATTAAAATGCATGCGTAAAATTTGGTTCAGAATTTAAGTGTGGACTAAGGAGAAAATGAAAAAAATTCTGAAATAGTAGAAATAGGAAGAAACACGAAAAAAAACCACTACTTACGAGAAGGAAGTCAGGTATGAATAAGAATGAAGATCAGGAGAAGAGTAACTATTGATTACGAAGCACAATTGCTGGGAAAGGATCGAATTGGAATGGCCTGTGTTCCAAGAAACCGCTAAAACAAAGAAAAGAAGTTCAGCATCCGATTCGAATTTGTGTTTTACACTTACACTGCCTTGCTTTTTTTGGGTATACCATCGGCCCGTCTAATCTCCCTATTCGGGCTTTTCCTTATCCTAACACTGGTTTGTAATGTTTGGGCTCACAGCCCGATTAGAATGCAAGATACAAAGATTTTGGGCCTTATGGAAATAGTTTTTTTTATTTTGAAAGAAACAAAATCTAGCAGACCTTATTTGAAATTTTGAAAAAAACATAAGCAAAATATGAATCAAGATACATACTGAGAAGTTGAAGACAAACAGGTGATTTGAAATTCAAAACAACTATGATAACGTTTTTATTCTTCGCAGACAAAATGTGGTCCTTGTTTTGTTTGTTTGGGACTTTTGGGACACTGTAGTGGTTCATTTCCTTAGTCCCACCAAAGCACCAACTCTGAAATGGAATTGCAGATGTATATACACCATGGACTCATGGAGTACACACAGACAATGAAGAAATGAAAGCCATGCCTTCTTGCAATATATTCTTTGGAGGAAAATTAGTTAACTGGAAAAAAATAAAAATAAACCGCTATTTTTTTGGCCAAAATAGTTAATGTTATTTATGATGGATTTGGTGTTTATCCTTATAAAAAATATAAAATTGTCATTTTAAATGAAAAAAAAAAATATACAATAAAAATTACATTTGGAGAAAGTGATTAATTTTTTAATTTAAATTATAAATAAAAAAATTAATTTTAACTAAAAAATTGTCCTTCAATATATATTTTTAAATTAAATATTAATTAAAGATATATAACCAGCGGAACTCTGCTCGTCTTGGTCTGTTTTTGTGTGGGGACCACAAGCAAGAAGGGGAGTGGACCCCACGTTGGAATAATAGAAGCACACGTGTGGAGAGTAAGGACGGTAAAGCTAGCTGTATCCAGAGTTGGAGGCAGTTTGTCGGGATCTGACCACTTTCTACTGATTACTCATGCTTGACGTCATTTATAAATGAATATACATTACATTTATACATTTTCTAGTATTTAATTAGTGTACGTTTGTTTTTCATTATTTCCAAAAAAAAAAAATACTATTTTATAAGTTTCTTTTAAAAGTAATAATGAATTGTTTTAAAAATTTACATTTTAGTGTTATCTCTGATAATTTATTTAAGAAAGTATGTGCGTCCATGAGTATAAGAATTCATCAAAAAAATATTAAACAAAACTATATGCATTTAATACCTGTTTAAGAAAATCATTAAAAGTATCATTCTTGTTTATCAAAAAAAAAGTATTATTTTTAAGAATATGAAATTATTAATGAAAACCAAAGATTGTTTCTGTCAGGCGTGCATTGTGTGGTGTGCCACAACGTCACCGTACCCATTAAAGAAGCACACATTTTTTTTCACACATTCAACTAGTCCAGATCAAGCATTCGATTATTAAACAGAGAAGGATTAGATTTTTGGAATAGTGACCATTGTGTCACTGTTCATAAATTTTTTTATCTAAATATCACGTGAACATTGTTATTTTTCAATCTGTCACGGGGCAAGTTCGCTTCTGACACAAACGACCTCAGTTTGCTGATGTGTCAGCTTCCTGGTGGTGTCAGAGTTCGCTTCTGACACTGGCGACCTCGGTTCCAACAATATTTTAACCAAGTTCGCCTATATGGTAGGCGAACTTTATTTTTTTTGAATTTTTTTTTTAAATTTAATACTTGTTATCCACTAGAAATGTGACACGTCATCAAATCGAGGTCGCTTGTGTCAGAAGCGAACTTGCCCCGTGGCAGATTAGAAAATAACACTGTTCGCGTGGCATTTAGGTAAAAAAGTTGATAAACAGTGGCATTTTGGTCAATATCCCTAGATTTTTTTAGATTAAATAAGTTCTATACAATCTTACTTACTTGATACGTAGCATCGATATCCACACGTGATATGATATATTATGTTAATTTTAAAAAATAATAGATTTTGATATATTTGAACATGTTTTGATATTAAATAATATTCTTAATTTATATAATATATATTGTATTTAATATTCAATAATTTAACAAAAAAAATTAAATTAAATTTATAATACCCATCAATTTTGTAAAGAAATATAAGATATCTCAAATATTTATATTAAACTCAATAAAATGGTAATTGTAAGTCAACGAATCTAATAGTTGGAACTAAAAACGCAACGCAATGCAACCTTTGAACCATGTTTTCAGTTTCTATAACGCGTGTTGGAGTGTCGGAAATGTAAGAAATTTTTATAATAATTGTGGGCTTCAATCAATTGTAGTTTTTTTGTTTTAATAAAAACAGGCTAAGTCATGATCCATAAAGGGATGCAGTATAAAGCTTATTTAATTAATGATCCTTTTATTTGGGCTTGGATATCTGTAAACTGATTAGTGTGGATAATAGTGTAGACCTAACCCATAGGCCCATGATGGGAAGGGGACTAGGGTTAATAAGTTTGGCTAGATCCCTTCTGCATTCACAACGTGTTAGAAAATCGTTACTCCACAACTCGCCCCATCGACGGTTGTGATCAGGGAGTGGTGTGAATTGCAGAGGAAGATCCTGGTCTTTCCATTGCAGGAGCTAGAGGAAATAAGAAGTCTTCAAGAAATCAAGAAGCATGTCTTCAACAAGTAAGCCTAAATCTTTTGGTGTTCTAATATCATATAATCCTATTTTATGAAATTTCTTACATTTGGTATCAGAGCCTAAATTATATGATTTACGACCCAATTATTTGCTGTTGGACATGATTGCATATTTTGGGATTTCTTGCCCTCATCTGTTCTTGAATATTTAATTTTTAAATTGATATTTATTTTATTTTATTTTGAAGAAATTAAACTCAATGATTTTGGGGGATTTTATAGATCCAATTTTAAATCCCTAATTTTTTACATTATAAGCATAAAACTTCGATGCTTGCTTTCATGGTTACGGAGCATTTGAAATAGATGCGATGTTAGTTGCAGAGAATTCCGAAACATATTTTATTGGACCATTCGAACAGACATGGAGTTTGTATATAATATATTTTTATTGATATACCGTAATGAGAACAACATATTTTTTGGTCTTTGATTGAGAGCTTAACACCTGTCACAGAATCCGACCCAAAATTGTTCAAAGTAAGGTCTGTTTGGTGTGATGTATACTATACATTATGACATTTTCAGTTGTTTGGTGTGACCATCGTATAGTATAAGCTTATACAGCATGACCCTTTTATACATCAAAATAATGTATAACTTAATTCGACCTAGGAGTGGTGGATTAGACATGATAAGATATTAATGTATTAATATTACTTACAAGTACAATTCTCAATAACTAATATATCATTTCAATATTTATATATTAAAAAAATTATTTAATATATTAATTTTTAAAATATTTGAGGATATAATATTATACAATATCATACCAAATGCTGGATAGTATTAAAATTTAATCAGGTCTTATACAATCAGGTCTTATACTATCAAGTTTTATCCTATACTATACACCAAACACGTCCTAAATGAGTCTCAAGCTTTGAACAATGTGCATTAAATCATTTTATTAGAGATTATTAATTTGAGCATTTCAGAAATAGTGGTTTTATTAAAGAAATGTGATAATTTGCAATATATTTGAAAAATCAGCAGCTTGGTCAATATGCTCAAACAGCTTTTGTTTATTGCTCTAATAAGCTAGAGGATAAAATCAAACAAAGGCGTTGAATGATAATTATGGTTCCATGCTTTTGTGGTATTTAAAATATATAATATTGTTGATGTAATGTGTGTTCTAAACAAATTTTATTATAACACAAAATAAATAAATAAATAAATAAGTTATGATATTATTTCTGTTGGCACCTTGTTGATATAATATTGTGAAGAGTTATTTATTATTCCTCCCTGAGAAAAAATTTTATGGAAGCCTTTTTTATTTATATTGGGAGCTGAGATAGTTAATTAGATATATACATCAAAATTTAGAAATTTATTGAATAATGCATATGATATTTATGTGTTTACATTTAGACAAATTTTTTATTATCAATATTTGATTTGATAGAGGTATGTTGAATTTTATATCATATTTCATTATTTATTTTTTGAATATATTTTCAAGAAAAATATGATGTAAAAATTACTTTGCTATATTTTTCATCATATGATGATGTGACATGGATGTGGTTATAATATAGTGTTGATTATTCTCAGCTTACAATGCTTGCTCTAATATCCTGTTTATTAAGGTGCATGCTTCCGCTTGAATTGATTAAATACAAAATTTGTTTGGGAATGATTTTGGTTATTTCATGCAATTTCCTGTCCAAATGGGATAATTGTGTGTTATAACTGTAAATTTGTTTGGGATGATGTTAATGGAGGTACATTGG